TTTTTGTTTTTCTTTCAATTTATCAACATTCATTATTAGATACAATCGTATTACAGATGAAGGTGCTGGATTTATTGCTGATTATTTAACAGTAAATTCTATTTGTTTATCGAATAAAAATAATTTTCTTTTTTCATATATCTAGAATGATCAATATGTATTGGTTCTTAATTTACAAGGTAATGATATACATCGAAAAGGTGCTCAAAATTTATCGAATGCTCTAAAAGTAAAAATGATTTAAAAAAAAACATTTAAATAAATAAAAAAATTTTCTTATTTCAATAACTAAAACCAAAAAAAAACCAGGTCAACACAACATTAATATCATTATCACTTGCTGATAATAGTATTGGCAAAGGTGGTGGTATGGCATTTGCTGAAACACTTCAAATAAATATTACTCTTGAACATCTTAATTTAGCAAATTGTGATTTAGTATGTCAACAAAATTTTTTTATTCTTATTTTAAAAAATTTTCTTTTTAAGGAAATGGATAGTCTAATAGCATTATTAACTATTTTACGTTATAATCCAAGTTTAAAATCGATTGATTTAAGTCGTCCAATACCACAATATCAACATTCAAATTGGATGGATGATATTGCTATTCATATTGCACATATGCTTGAAGTAATTATTTATTTAAACAAAAGATTTGAAATTTTGTGAAACACGATATAAGCAGAATGTTGAAATATGAGGGTAGAAATTTGGACACGTTTACAAACAGACGTGACAGATACCTTAGCAACGCCTCTTCAGCATCACAGACATAACTACGGGATTTGTATGATAGTTGTCCTTTATTTTTATTTCACATTTACTGCAAAATAACGAATGATCGAAAAGTTTTTCGATAGGATGTTTATTCATTTTTGATTCGCTAGAAAGTATTTCTCGCGAGTGAAAAGCTATGAGTCTATGATTGAGCTTAGACATTTTGTTCGCGAGTAGTGAAATCAACTTTGAAAAGCCCAAAGAATTAGTCTGGACGAAAACTTCTTGTATTTTCAATATTGTGATTCGAAACTAAAAGTTGAAATCTTTATTTGTATATCATCATGTAGATCAGAAACTACCCTCTGAAATGTACTATTTGAAGTTTTCATTTGTCTTTCGACAAGACATCTCAATTTATCGTTTTTCCTAAATATTCAATTTTGAAAAATCGACAATCGTTTTATGCTGAAAGGCACTCGTGAAAAAATGATTGGGTAAAATCTACAGCTTAGTTCTATACGACATTTTCTAGAAAAGTGATCAATCTAGAAAATGACCAACTCTGATATGTTTTAACGTGTTCGAATAGGGACTTATCAAGTAAACCAAAATCCGTTGTCTCATCATTAAAAATAATTTTTCAAGTCTTTCAAAAAGTTCCTCATTACTCTCGAACAAAATTTCTAAATTCGAGCACAATCTTAAAGCTTGGAAATACATCCTAGCGGATCAAAAATGAATAAGCATTTTGTCCAAAGATTTTTCAGTCACCTATTATATATCTTTCATCATTGGCATGCATTACCAGTAAGTAGAAATTCATAAACCAAAACCTACATTGATTAATTCCTTCTTTTACAATACCAGCAGCTTCATCGTCTCTTACATTTTAATGCGACAGGGATTGTACCAACAGGTTTTTTTTCTTTAGAAAAATAATGTTTTACAAGAATTACATGTTCAAAAATTCGAAATTCGTGATCCAGGTTTTATGTGGATTTGTGAAAAAATGCAACATAATCAAACATTACTTTTTCTTGATCTTAGTTGGTATGTGTTTAAATGAATGATTGATCAAGTAAAATAATATCGACATTTTTGTTTTTGTAGCAATCGAATTACACGTGATAGTGCTGTTTATTTAGCATCAATGCTTGAAAAATGCGGTCTTCTGAGACTTAATTTAGCATTTAATAGATTAGAAAATGAAGGTGCTGGTCATTTAGCAACAGCATTACTTCAATCAAATTCAAAACTTCGAAGGTAATACAAACTTTTTTTAGGTTTTTTTTT